CTTTCCCTAAGCCCTTAATCCCCTTAAACTCCTAAACATTAGAACCGAAACTGACGTACCTGCATAGGAATTATCAGAGTTTCTCTTGGGCTTTCTCAGAGTTTCGTAACTTTGATCTAAATTAACATCTGGTTGCACATTCCGAAGACGAGCACTGGCCCTAATGGCAGTACCCATCTGCACAACAGGAGCTAAAGCAAGGATAGATCCTCCCATATCATCCGGTATTTGTGATGGACCTCCTTCTGCGGCTATCTTATCACAAAACGTTACCAGTGCCGGATCCATCTGTGACACCATCCCATGTACCTAAACCATGAAGAAGAGGATTTGATTTCGAGGGGGAAAAAGCTTAGGGGCATGCTAGCAGCAAATTTTGTGCTGAAATATAAGAGAATTTTTGCAACCATACCACATCTCGGAGCTCATAAGCTCTACTGACAATCCTTGACCCGGTGTAATCATCTCCATTGTATACCTGGGTATGTAAGAAAGAACATGTAATGTAATCAGACGCAACAGTAGAATCACATTGTTTCGCCAGTAGGAACATCCTTCCTTCAGTGCTGATTGTATAGGCACATGTCAACAGATAAAGATTATAGAAAAGGATGACAGTAACAAGTGAGAACTTCTTTGCGTCGTGGGTCATTGTGTTTGAAAACACAAAAGTTTCTAAAAAATTGTGAATGATAGTAAAGGTCTCCCGTAAGTTGTTGATGATGACAAGGACCACACATCACTACAACCAACCTCTTAAACACCAACAGAAGAATTTTTCCTCATCAAATTGCCAAGTGTAGTGATCAGATATGCTACATTGACATCTTTATTATGTATTTATCCATATCTAAACGTATTACTAATTTACTATACATTTGAAAAATAGAACTGCACCTTTGCATTGTTCACAATGAGATCGATGTCTTGCAAGAAGGCTGAACATGTGATTAATTGACCGGCATCGACACGTTGCAGCAGAGTTGCCATATCCATCGGGTTTTGAATTACAGAGTGATAGTTAGGAGCATCCTCATCTGAGACTGGGTAGTGGAATGCAGTAAATCTTTTATCATATAATATCCTGCACAGTCACAATACAACACAATTTATAACTGACAACAGAGTAAGATGATTAGTCAACAATCACTGGTCTCAATCAGCATATTCAAGCATGAAATTGATCAGTAAGATAAGACTGTACAAGGAAGTTAATTGATAAAATAAAAAGACAGTCCGGAACTTAAAATTTACTACCAATTCATTTAAAGCTATGCACCTCTAGATCTAAGACCATAAAATGTAACAAGTCCAAGTCACTAAAAGAGAAAACAATAAGGATTATATACCTACGGCACTACAACCTTTGACTATACAAAGCTTCAACACGCACTCCATGGAAGTACTTTCTAGAATCCAATGAATATTATAAAAGAAATAGAAAAGGGAAAAGAAAAGAAAGAACCACAGGTACAAAGGTAAGATTAAGCAACCAAATTGTGACCCAAAAACTTGTAGACGGTACAGATATCTAGTGTTCAACTATTTAATTCATCACTTGTTTTCTACGTTTGCCCGGATCTACAAATCAAGATTCTTCTTGCATCACCAAGTATATAAAAGGACCTTTCTTAAGTCTTAACCCTTGTGGGCCTTTCAATGGCTCTCTTGTATTTCTGTATGCCAAAATTCCGTAATTATATATCAAACTATTTATCAGTTTCCCAAAAAGATTTTGTTTGAGCAACAAACTTTGAATTGATATTTAAAGTGAGGACACATATGCATTTACCGGTTGCAAACATCCCTGAGACACATCCGTAAACGTCGAAGGGCATGCTGCTCTGCTTCCACCTTGGCTTTTATCTCCGAGGGCTTTGGACCACTTGGTGCTTTTGGCACCTTGGGAAGTTCAGGAGGATGGTCCGGACCATCAGGTTTGCCAATGAGGTTCTCTGAAATGACTGAGAAAGCAGCTTCAATCACACGGTCAAAGAACAAAGACCTGTCTTCCTTTGATGGTTTGTCCACAGAATATCTGAAATCAAATACAAAGGATATTGAGAAACTAAGGATTAAATAACAAATCAGACTACTTCAAAGAGCATAATAAATGATGAGATAAGATCAATTAAATTTCTACAGAGATGTCCTGAAAAAGTAAGTTGAGTCGGTGTATGAAACCAACTTTAAGGGTAAAACATGGCTCAGGCAATCTGATTTGAGATCTTCCATCTAAACCTACATTTCCAGAAGTTGGTGATCAATACTTGCCTTGCAACGTCTATCTGAGAGTGATCGGCAATAGACTTTACCAATAATGCCAATTTGGACAAAATTCAAAAGCATAGAATTAAACCAATTAAAGCTTGAATGCAATGCCAAAAAAAGTTTTATAATGAAGCGATGAAAGACATTGTATGCTATAATGCTAAACAAAAGATACATGAAAAGCACAGCCTTACATAGAACGGTTGTTAAATACTGGCTGCTCTTCCATCTCAGATAGTTCACCATAAGATGTAGCAAGCAAAAGTATGGGCAGATCCGATGGTAATTCTTCTAACAAAGTCAGGAAGACAGCCCTAAGTTGATCATGCGCCTGCAATATCAATATTATAAGACAGAAAACATAAAATAAATAAAAAAAAACTCAGCAGCAGTTCCTGCGAACAACCAAAAGCACAACCCTGTATTGTACCTACATAAAGCCAGCCTGTAAACCAGATTGGCCAAAGGAGGTTCAACTAAATTATAGTTTAGATACGATAATAACTTACGTTGTCCCACCAATTATTGAACATTGGCATGTAAAGTATCGAAGGTGTTGTTCTCCTAGCTTCCCCGAATATATGTACCAACGCTTCCTCTGGCGTCTTTGCACTAGGATCCGATAGAAGAGAAGGAAGACCAAGAGAATGAACAGGAAGTTTCTCTAGCTCATGCAGAATTGCAGGCCCAAGATGATCCTGTTAGGCTAACAAGTAAGTGAATTCAGTTCATAAGTCATAAACCCAACAAATCAAATCAGAAGAATTGGTGAGCAATTACCAGCCCAGCTCCTTCACCACCTAGAAGCAGAAGCCGAGGACGATAAACAAGAGGGATTGCCGACCCATATGAAAGCATTGACAACTTATTTAACTCCGACGACACGGCCGAGGAAGGAAATATGTCAGATATAAGACTCATGGCTCTCTGGAGATGTCGTTGTAGACACGGCAACACCACCAAAGAGAGTGGCCTGGAGTGCACAACAGCCCCCCTATGGGCAGCAGGAGTAATAGCCGACATTGCCTCTATAAAGTGGCACTTTTCCACCTTAACCGAATCAACATCTATTAGATATTTATCATCACTGGTGTAAACTTGGGGATATTTCTCCCGGAAAGCACGAATGGCAGCTTCAGTACACAAAGCTTTTAGATCAGCACCACAATACCCCACACAAGTGGCTGCCAGTTCTTTCTTCAGTTCGGTTGAAGGAGGATGCTTCCACTTACGAGAGTGGATATCCAATATTTCAGCACGTGCTTCAAAACCTGGTAAAGGAAAGTTGAACTCTCGATCAAATCTGCCAGGGCGGCGCAAGGCTCCATCTATTGCGTCTACCCTGTTTGTCGCTCCAATGAGAACAACTTGACCACGAGAATCCAGACCATCCATCAATGCCAGTAAAGTTGAAACAATGGAATTGTGTATCTGCTCTTGTTTGCTAGATCTCACAGGAGCAAGACCATCTATTTCATCAAAAAAGATTATCGAAGGCTGATTTCGCTGAGCCTCCTCAAAAAGTAGCTTAAGTTGTCTTTCGGCCTCACCAACCCACTTGCTAAGAACATCAGCACCCTTTCGCATATAAAAGCTAACCTTCTGCCCAGCTTTTGAAGCAGCACATGCTAATGCTCGGGCGATCAATGTTTTCCCAGTGCCTGGAGGACCACATAGGAGTACACCTCTGGGAGGAGTGATGCTGTAACTTGAGAAGAAATCTGGATACAGCAATGGAAAGAAAACCATTTCCTTCAAAGCATTGATGTATTCCGACAGTCCTCCAATTTCATCAAAACTTACACTCTCATCAACCTGCAATGGCTGAATATCTGCGCCTCCCTTAGAGCTTGGCCCAGCCGTCTGAACTCCAGAAGATAATGTAGCCAATGCATCACTCTGGTGACCCCAACCAGAAGCTGCGACATTCAATCCCAGTGAAGGTGACCCCCCATACATGTCCAATCCTCCAAATAACCAAGGTGGTCCAGATCTATTTCCACCTCGTCCCCAGGGAATAGCAGGCCCCTGATCCAACTCATCCACAAGAAGGGAATCATCTGAATCATCTGTTCTTGTAAAACGGTGGCGCTTGTGAAGCCGAGATCCACCTCTCCTGACATCCCTTCCAACCCTGGAACCCATGCCCTGATGTAATACTCTCCGAGGAGATCTAGCTTGCTGCTTATTAACCTCTTCCGCAGACATCCTGCGTACATCAGCACGGTTCCGAAGATCATATCTCTTCTTTCCCTCCTGCTCCTCATCACCATCTTCATCATCACCATCTTCCTCTCCCTCTCCCTCATCCTCACCACCCTCATCTTCACCATCACCCTCGTCTTCGCCATCACCCTCATCTTCGCCATTAGCCTCATCTTCATTTTCACCATCATCTGCATCGTTCTCATCTATCTCATTCCCATTCTCTGTCTCATCATGACCATCATTCTCTTCTGAACTATCTTGATCGGCTGCAGATTCTAATTTCAGTCGTTTATTAGCAACTATCTTTGAACGGCGAGGTCGGAGCCCTTCACGTCGTGGTGCATACTCAGTTTTCATGGTCTTTCTACTTTTTGAAGGTGGAAAGTCACGGCCAATGCCATTGTTGACCCTAGTCCTCATGGTTCGATATGTTGGCCTCTGAAACAAGATAGATATTTATTCTCAAAAGACTGATTGAGGTAAGAAAATTAATTAATAAAGTAGCTCCTGATCTCTAATGATGGAAGCTACAATATTCAGAGGAAATATCCTGACCATTAAGTCTTCATCCTCTGCTCCAGAGCTGTCAGTGTAATCTTCAAGATTTACAGAAACTCTTCTCTTCCTTGTGGACCGACGAAGGTTGGTCGCGATTGGCTGCATAGCAGAATCAATGTAATCAACATTCCATGTATTCACACTATAGGTAATTAATATGCATTTCAAAGTAATTCTACGTGAACAACAACAAATGTACACGATTCATGTTCTTTCTTGCATGCATTTGATCATTTTCTCCAAAGTGATAAATTAACAGAAAAACGAACTTTACCAAGGAAATAACTAGGCATCTGAGTTCTAAGTTTATATCTTGTAAACACTCAGGAGGAAGAGCAGTGTTCTCTATATGTTTAGCTAGTTCACGAAAAGATGTTGAAAAGCAATCAACCACTAGTGAAACGAGATAACAAGAGGACAGGGGTATGTTGCCAAAAACAGCTCTTTAAGACATTGAAGTATTTCTACCCCCAAACCAGCAGTTTTATAAACCAATGCAGACTATAATCATATCTATCTTTGAAAGAAAAGTTTATTGCAATGGCAGGTGGTCATCCACTTCAGCAGGTTAAGCCATCAAGTCATCAACACCATTTTCGAAAAGTTGAAAGTTATAGAGGACCCAAAAAGACGTGATCACAAATTTTATTATCTTTCAGGGCAAACACCCCAACAATTTGAAACGATACATATGCATCCAGATTATTCTGACAAGAAAAAAGTGGAACCAAAAGTGAGTATGGACTGGTTAGAATTCTGAAAGGAGAAATGGGCTTCATTCATGAAAGACAAACTACATTATCACTGAAAACATCATTTGTGATTAATGATATGGTATAACTACAGGCAATATGCTGCAATCCTCTATTATCAGGGAAAACAACAAACATATGCAACTGAAATGACACTCACAAGGATGTATTAGAAAGATCTTCCACGATGTCATTTCCTTTAGAACTTAATAAAAGTATCCTTGACAAACAGACAAAGATTTATCCTAAAGGAGCCCAGCAACCAGTTAAAAATAAAGTAAGACTAAGAAAAGGAAGTAGGTTTATAGTTTATCCTTGTAATCCAAATGGTAGTACAATAGAGGAGAAATTAACACCTAGTATGAAGTAACCGAAATTCAAGTTCCAGATAATCTGAATGGTTAAGCAGCATAAAGATAAGCATCTAAAACTTACACTAGCATTTGATGCCCGTGGGTGGTTCCCTTTATGCAGCATCTTGGCAATCTGTGAGGCTGCAGTTCTTGTCTTCGTCTTTCTTTTCCTAGTATGTAAGATGGTTGGAGAGTAATAATAGTACGAGCGACCATACATTTTGGGCCGCCTCCTAAGCCGATCACTACTTCTGACTGGCTTAGTAATTGACCCATCTCCTTGACTTGATGGCTTTGGATGCATAGGAAAACGCTACCTCTGATGATTGTCTCCTTCCATAAACTACATATACAAGACTCAGAATATCACATTTCCACTCAAAAGCCAACAGAAAATGGAAAAGAAAAAGAAAAAAAAAACTTAAATATTCCCCTTTCAAGCAAAGATAACAGCATTACAGAATTAATTTTGTTCTTGGGAAAAAAGGAATATAGCTCTGTAAATTTGTAGCTTAAAAAGAATATACAAACAGCAGAACATCCCTAACACTATCTGCTAGGTTCCTCCTACAACCAGGCATGTATTCCATCATTCACCTAGAATATTCACAAACTGTTGGGCCGCCTCCTAAGCCGATCACTACTTCTGACTGGCTTAGTAATTGACCCATCTCCTTGACTTGATGGCTTTGGATGCATAGGAAAACGCTACCTCTGATGATTGTCTCCTTCCATAAACTACATATACAAGACTCAGAATATCACATTTCCACTCAAAAGCCAACAGAAAATGGAAAAGAAAAAGAAAAAAAAAACTTAAATATTCCCCTTTCAAGCAAAGATAACAGCATTACAGAATTAATTTTGTTCTTGGGAAAAAAGGAATATAGCTCTGTAAATTTGTAGCTTAAAAAGAATATACAAACAGCAGAACATCCCTAACACTATCTGCTAGGTTCCTCCTACAACCAGGCATGTATTCCATCATTCACCTAGAATATTCACAAACTGTATAAAATGAAATGTAGTAATTATTCGCATCTAATATCGAAATAATCCAAGATGGAACAGTGCGAACATTCTACAACAGCCACTCTCTTGCTTGCCGCTCAACTCGTAATCTACATGCTTTCTGAAAGCTAGAACCCAAAAGAGAAAGCCACATACCCGTCGAGCAAGATAATGGAAATTTCGAACAAAACCCTAGAAACTAAAGCTGGAAGAGAACAGTTCGACAAAACTTGAGGCTTCGGCGGGGGGCGAGAGACCATAGAACAGAGCGTTCTCCATAAATAACTTCAGAAACTATCTAGGCGATTGCATTAGCCTAAGAGCTCAACGAAACAATTAATCCATCGATGAACAGAGGGAATGCGAAAGCGAGCAGACATAGCAGATCGATGAGAGCATAGAGACGACGAACCAGAAGATTTCAGAAGGAGAAAGCGAGAGCGAGATTGAAAGTGTAATTGGAGACTTCAGAACTTGCAAGTCTGTCTTCTTCGTGCCTCTGCTTCTTTTGTTCTCTTCGCGTCCTTTTTTTTCCTCTCTCTTTTTTCCGGCAACTGCTTTAATAAATTTCTCTTGCTGAGTCTGTGTTTGGAATTTGGGATATTTCTATCCCTGCACCTAATCCGTAGAAATTTTTTCACAACTTTTAGCTATTTGCTATCACCTCCCCATTTTTCATTTGTATATCACAGTAACCCCATAATTATAGACTTTAACATTTGAACTCCCATACGCTTTGACGAATGTTTCTATTACACTATTATCGAGTTCTTGACGATAATGATCTTGAATCTAAACTTCATAATAATACCTCTCACACCCAAACATTAAACATGTTTTCCAAAGATGCTCAAATATACCAAACCAGTGATACACATATCATAATTGAACATCCTCCGCCCAGAACCGAGTTAAACTTGTTCCAAACTGACAGGTAAACAAAGACTTGATTTGAAACCATACTTGTTTAGATACCAAAACGTAATTCTGCATAAATTACTCAACGTTCTTACAACAAATGATTTCTTTATTACATAAGATTATCACAATACAGAAACGGAATGAATCAAATATGATTTGTTTCCAGAGACAACCAAGAGAAGATATCAACATGGAAGTAGTAGAAGATTACATTATATCTCTCTGTGTGTGTATATATATATCTTATATTAATATGTATACGTATGGCAGATTTGAGGGTGCACCCTTTTCAGCAACCAGCGGCTTTCAAGAATTTATCATAAGGGCTTGAAGGCGGCAGCCGGAAATTGTTCTGTCCCGCTTCTAGTTTGCAGGTAGAGTGCTGGTTACAAGTGTCAACTGGAGCCAATGTCATTGGCTTCAGACCATCATCTGCAGTTTCCATCTGTAACAGACAAGGCAACAGAATCAAGGCAAAGGCTAGCTTGCGGGTACACAACCGCCACAGACAGTTCATACAAAGCAAGAGCTTGTCCTTCTCTTCATTCACTTCGGATGTCACTGAGTGGAGACTGAGAGGGTTCATATTGATCAAAGGACAAATAGTGATATAGTATACAGTAGAGAAGAACAAACTCACCCCTTGGAGCAGCAAGAGCTCATCCTTCTCTTCATCATCTTCTGAGATGGAAGATATTGCCTTTGTTTCTTCGAGTTTGAAACTTTGAAGTACCGACATCTTTTGCTGCTTACCCGTCACAAGTGCTTCACATTGACTCGTCATTTGGTCATATGGTATTGGTATGGATGAAACAGGGAAACTAGCAACTTTTCGAGCAGTTTCAGACACCTGTTATGTCCAAGAGATAAAACAAACGAAGCAATTCAAAGAAAGAATGCTTGAATTATCATATCAATGAGTACTTTGATCTTCCATCTCTCTAAAAGAAACCCGTCAAGATATCTCGAAGAAGATTGAATGAGTGCATTACCGATTTTAACAGCTCATTGACACCCAGAATATCGGCTGTGTATGTGTCGGTGGACAGTGAAGTTCTGCGCTCAGACTGACATCCATTAACCTCTGGCAAAGTTTCTTCATATGCTACCGTAGTTGAAAGCTCAACCTGATGGAATGGTACCATGAAAATAAGGAACTCTCCTTACAGGAAGCATGGGTCATAATTATGAAGCTATTACCTCTTCAAAGGCTGGAAATTTTGTTTGGTTAATAGGTGAATTGTGTTCTGGTGTGCCCATGTACAATGGTGCAGCTAGCGGGTGTGCATCATCTGGTGAAAATTCTGACAGAATTTGCTTTCTCAAGTTTGATGCCTCATCCTACAGCATCAAACAAGAAAAATGTGTGATTGAAAAAAAAAAATCTCCCACCAGGAAACTAATGAATGTTCTGTAACATTGCATAGGTCTAACTCAGACTGGTCCTGCTTCATTCGATTGCTCTGTGTTCTCATGTACTCGGACCAAACACTACATTAGAGAAATATATTTACAGGTAAAAGAACATGTACTACATATATGGTCAATTGGTCATTGCTTGACTATTTTCTCAACCTTAAAATAGAACAGTACCTCTGATAATGTCTTGAATTTAGCTGCAAAGTGAGAAATCACAATTTCCTTCAAGCAGTTGTCGTCAGACTCTATCGCTAAAGGGGAATTGAAAGCAGTGACATCATCTTCCTCAGATGCGTATACTGCCGTTTCTTCCTGTGGATATCCAGCACAAGCAGCACGCAATCTGGTATCTCCTTCCAGCTCAAGATAAGGATCAGCCTATCGAAGAAGTAGCCAATTTAGCATACAAACACTTTTCAGCATAGGTCTTGAAAAAGAAAAACAAACAAATGAAATTTTTTAAAGAAAAAAGCTCAGCTCACCGTTTGGTCAGTTAAAGACGATTTGACAATCGGAATTATCTCCACGATATTACAAACCTTGGCTGCGAAAATGAGCATACATGATGCAAACGTGAAGAGAGATCTTCTACGAGACGGATGCATACCTCCTTCAGAATCACGGAAGAAAGAAACATGTCAGAAACAACCTCAATCAAGAAAATTCAGTTTCTCTTTTTTGCAGTCACAGGAAAAGGAGACCTCACCAACATTTCACAGGTTATCCTATATTGACTACAGAATAGGAATAAAGGAATCAAAATTTTTCACCATCAACAAAACCAGACCTACGCATCATAAGAAAAGGGCATATTAGATGGGTCTTAAAGAGAAACAACGGTAAATAGCTCGAATCTAGAACCTAACAGTCAGCAACTTTCACCACCAACCCAGAAATATGCATCATAGTGTTATAACAAAACAGATAAGGTAATTTCTTTATGAAGAAAGAAAAGCATTATATAAATCTTTTAACTTACCATCTTGAGCCAAAGATAGATTTCGAAGAGAGAATGCCAACTGAAAGCACCATGCTAGAGCCACGTGGCTTGATGTCTGCCATTTGCATTGATAAAAAGCTGAGAAAAATAACAAAAAAAAAAGAAAGATCTTCGACCAATTCAAGCCATTAAACAACATTGGAAAAGAGAATGGATTACAAAAAACTAAATTCCATAATGAACCATTGCTACAATAAACATAAAAGAATTCAAGAATGAGAATTATTTATTGTTCACCATGTGCCAGAACAGAAAAGCACCAACATTCCATCAGCCTTTTGATGGCAGACTGTTAGCACTTAAAATATTCAAGCTATTTGAGTGAGCAACATGCCCAAAGTATGTTAATTCAACAAATATAAGATCTATCAACTAACCTTAGCTCGTGAAAACAGTAGAGTGATATAATACGTGTGGGCCATGGCCTCAAAGTTTGCAGGAGTATTTTCACTAGAAGTTGCCTGAATCCACAGTGATGAAAGTAGCAGATTCACTTGGTGACTACTCAGTCGGAGCGAAGATAATGACTGCGAATACATTAAATTGGATTATTAGTTAGCTAAGCATCAGATACATTCACATTACAGGAAAATAATTCTAATTGGGAATTAAAACCATAGGGGAAAGCACAAAGAAACATAATTTTGGAAATTCACACCTTTATACGACCAGCCACATCCTTGAAGCTATCTATTGACTGACAACTAAATTGTTGTCTTGTAGATTGCGGTACACTGGAATAAGATGTCTGGTTTTGTTTACTCAGTTCTCCATTCAAGGATGCTTCAGCTTTCCCTTTATCTTCATCCTGTAAACAATTCTCGGTCCTTATTTTATGGGTTCCATTGACTGACAAAACCCCAGAAACAGCTTCTGATGTTTCCTTATGTTGATCTGACAAAGGCAAAAGAAGAGGTTGAAGAAGTAGGACAGAGAAAATATTATGCGCCCCAACTCTTGTTTCACAATCTGCGTGGGACATTGCTAGGAGCAGCTGGTGAAATAATGCATCAGGAAGTACCTGAGACAGATCATAGATCATGATAACATAAGTTCTTCAAACTCGATTGCAATAACTCAAAACAACCAACTAACCTTGAAACAGAAGTGATCTCACTTACCTTCTTGTGGTAAGAAATGTTGGGGACAGCCGATGCTATATGTGCAGCTCGAAGAACAGCTGATGTCGTAGTCCTAGCCGTGAGTACATTAGTGGATATGGCCTCAAGAACCACCGCCAACATATCAAGAATGAGCCCTACATCCCCAACCTTTAAAAGGAACCAAATTAACAAAGTTACTATACAGCATTTAGGAAGAAGAATAACACAAAGAACTACACAAACAGAAAGAGTTAAATGAAGGACGAGATTATGAGCAAATGAAGTAAATTGAAAAAAGTAATGCATAAACAGAATTGCCACAGAAAAATCATGGGATCGCCAACATGAAGGGGGATAGAACCACAAACAGAATGGAGAAACAGCAAATTATACGAGAGGTCTGATGGAAACTAACATTCCTCGAAGCATGTTCAGCACTATATTCTTGTGATATGTGGCATACATAAGACATCATCCATGAAACTACTTGCTCTCAGATCCAGAGATCATACTTAAAGCTCAAAAACAACATAAAGGATATAATCCCACGAACCTTATTTGAGAGCTCCCAGATGCAATTTTCCAAAGCATATTGAAGTTCAGAATTCTGTTTCATTTCATCAGCAGGCACAGTTGATTCAGAGACATTTTGTAGGCACTTCCGCAAGTGCTTTATTAAGTCAGCTATTGCAGCAATAATCATGACTGGAGCCTGCTGCTTTGCATTTTGTGCAAGGTATGTGGCAGTGGCAACAATGTTGATTTGAAGACTTTGTTGCTTCACTACATTCTTATGATCCAAGTGCTTGATCAAAGTTGATATCAACATATGACAATTTCCTCCTGCTTCGAAACTTATCATCAGTTGTGTCTGAAACAATGTCTAAATAATTATAGCATCAGAAAATATAGCTAACCATATAATCTTCACCTGATTCTTCTAAGCAAGTCTGCAGAAACAATAAAATAGATGAGGCAACTCCCTTTAGTGGAGACCAGTAATTCTTGGTATCAAAAGCACGGAAAAGAGGTTCAAGAACACGCCGAACAGTTGTAGTTTCCTTTGCTAATTTGGCTACATTGCAAAGGCAAATTATAGACCAGTAAGAGGGGCTCTTCAAAGTGTCTCTGCCAGATTGATGGAAAAAGCAAATAGCATCAGTTGATTGTAATACACTGCTCATCTTAATGGATATACCTGACATTCAAATTTTAACAGAAGCATTACATGTTTTCGGAATGAAAGCCAACCACATGATTAGGTTTAAAAGTAATAGTTCCACCCTCAACTTCCAAACTTTCACCAGCATCCTCTTTGTGATCTTGGTTCCTCTGCTTATCCATATAGTTCTCCAGAATCACAGAAATAATCTAATTTAACACGAAAAAACGAGATCAATCCACATATTGCACCGATGACCGTACATATATATAACTCTATACATGTTACTACAACAAAATTTCAAGGTTTAGATGTCTCACACTATCAAAGTCCATTGGCATTTGGGAGTGCTCACCCATGAAAGATACCTGGCAATAAAGTACTGGTTAACTAAAATTTAACATTAAAAAATAAATTTGCTGGTTAATAACAAACAAGCTCCAGCAACCACAATTGTAGACCTTTCGTCACATAAAATGCACGATAGAAATAAAGCAAAGTTAAACCTTGGATAACAAGACAAGACAAACTAACAATGCTTCTAGGGGCACTAACTGCTAAAACTACACGGGTCTATGAAATTCCAGACAAGCTGAGTAGAGGGATTGGCACCATTTTCATCATACTTTTTACTTACCATGAAAGTCAACTTATAGCTATGGTACTCAGTCCCCGGAAAGTTTCTCCCGATATTGAACCATAATTGAGGATGGTGTGCTAACAATTTGAAGCTCCAATATACAATTACATATACATATATAATGCAGCTCAACACAAGAACAGGTCAAGGCGAATTTTAAGGCATCTAATATATGTCTATGGAATGAAACATCTCATAGAAAGACAGACATTAAGACACTACCATGTATGCCAAAGCCTGCATTCC